ATGATGGAGCACTTTTAAAAGGTGATGAGCTGGATGACGCCATCCTCCATAAGATGTAGTGACAAAGACTTCATATGCCATTGGTCGCTGTTGCAATATTAAATTGTTCTTAAGATTAATCGACCTAAATTAAACACCAACTCCTCTGTAGTTATTATTAAATATTTTATAACCCATTGTATTATTAGGCTCGATTATTTTGGGACCACAAAATAATAAAAAGTCAGGATTGCAGTCTGCAGAAGCGGTAATGAAGAATTATACTTACGGCCACCAGGAGGCCAATCTCGACGGAAGAGAAGAGGACCCCAAAGAAGGCTCCGGCGCAAGCAAGAAAATCAAGCTTATCAAGCTTCCATATTCTGTAAGCCTCATTGAAGTCTACGAGTCCTGGGAGAGCAGAAATGATGATTGAGGCAAGAATCGCCGTTGGAGTGAAATATAAGAGCTTCGTGAAGCATAGCAACGAGATAACCACCGTAATAGCCATCACGATGTTTGACCCTGCAGTTTCACATCCCGCCGCCACATTCACCGCCGTGCGCGAAAACGAACCTGCAAATTACCGTTTATTTACTTCCACTGCCTAATCCTTATTCAAAAGAAACAGTGGAGGAAAGAATTTCGATCACGAACCCATCTCGATCAAAGACAGATAGCTTACCAGTTGCAACGTAGCATGATGTGAAAGACCCTATAATGTTCATGAATCCGATGGACACCATTTCTTTGTTTCCATCAATGTGGTATCCTCTCATGGAAGCAAAAGATCGGCCGACTGAAACCGATTCCTGCGATCATTAAGATTAAAAGTGGCACGATTTTGAGTGGAAAATGTAGTGATAGGAACTTGAAACGAGGAATGAAGGGAGCTCTTACAGTGAGTGCAATAACAGAAGCAACCAGTCCGATTTTGGCGACTTCTCCAATATAGGGGCTGTTCAGCTCTAAAAGATGAACGGAACTTGGATTCAGCCCTCCTTTTACGTGTTTCACAATATTAACTCCATGTTTATCAGCTCGGGTGAGAAAAACAATGAGGGTTGATAGCACAACCGATGCGAGAGGGGAGATTGCTGGCAGCCAAAATAGTTTTCTGTTCCTTTTACCCTGCTCATATATATTTATTAGCCCCATCATTAGACTGATTCGAACAGAGGAGACAAGTTACCAAAACTAAAATATGCAGCCTATAAGTCATTTTGCGAAGAAATAGGTTGTGGGCTTATCAGTACTTCTACCACTCACCAGAAATCTGGATATGAGCATCAAAATGAGGAACGAGCATCCCAGCACAACATTGAGGTAATTCCACTGCAGCTGAAGAGAAACAAGGCATTAGAATACAGCGGCAAATTAGTTTGGTTTCTTCCTAAGATTTTTAAGGATTTATATCTTTGGATTAGAATATTATACTGATGGCATGGGCATTTGCCCCCATGCACACACAAGACTTCAACTGCATTAAGATGGCATTCAATAATCTTTTCCTTTGTTGCTATTTCAATGAAACTCGCGAAAAGAATACAATCACTAGGGTAGATGGTTTATGATAAGAATGTTTGACGAAGTTTTAAAAAAAAAAAATCTGTTGATTAATTTTGATATTTTGGCAAAAGATCTCACGTGATTTGCATGGCTTCATTGGCTGGAGTTTAACGTTTTGTTGTACAGTTGAGGAACTTCCTTTATTAAATATGGATTAAAAAAAGACCACTGAGTTGAAAATCTGATTAAACTTTACGAATAAGTGTCTTGTTTAAAAAATTTTCGCCAAACCAATAATTGTGCTAGTTTAATTGTACAATTTTATTCAAAATTTCAGACGCTCATAATTAAACTAAGTTCCTCCGGTTCTTAATATATAAGTTAATTGTTGAGTTGATCTTAATCTTAAATGTAAAACCTATTTCTCATATTTATTAATTTTTTTAAATTATCCCTATCAATCTCTCTCAAGTCGGGGAGGGAGGAAGAATATCAAAGATGATTATGATGTTTTAAAAAAAACATGTCATACTTCTTATAATTAACTAACTTTTCTATCTTTTTTAATCTAATCAAATTAGTTAAATAGGTCTTATATTAAAGATCCAATGAATACTAAAACTCGATGCAGGATTTAGAAAGAGATTTCAAAGGGTCAAACTTGGTTTATCCTAAGAGTTATAGCTTTTGCATGAGGGAAAAAAAAATAGTAGCGGAACCATCATCGTCATTATCTGATGTAGCCTAAAACATGTTTAAATCATTGTACAAGGAAAATGAAAAGATATATATACGTACAGGATGATCAAGAGATTCGCGAACAGACATGGTGACAGAGACGACGTCGGTTTTGTTGGTAAAGCGTTGGAACCCAAAAAGGCCCTTCAGCTGTTGAAGTCCAATAACAATGGCCGCTCCCGCTGTGAATCCTACTATAGCAGCATGCGACAGAAATTCCAGCAAGAACCCCAACCTATATATATATATACATATATATATAAGCACGTATACATTTAAGCAATGTATTTACTTGTGTCTGAATCATGAGGTATATATCTCTTAAAAAATCCCACCTCAAGAGTCCGAAGGCAGCCTGGAATATGCCGGCAAATAAAGTGGCAGTCAGAACCAGCTTTGTGTAACCCAAAGGATCAGTGGAAGGGTCTATTAGTTTCTGAATCATTGACGACAACAACAATGAAACCACGGCCACCGGTCCAATTGCCACCTCCCTTGAACTTCCCATCATTGCATAGATAAGAGGCGGCACCGCACTGGTATCTAGTTGGTAATTTTATCCACCACATAGCATAAGCTTATCTCAATTACTTCTTCTAACAATTCTAGTTTCTTTCTTTTAAGGAAATCAACTTACAGAGGCCATATTCAGGATCCAGCCTCGCTAAAGTTGCATACCCAATGCCCTGCATTGAACAGACAATAAAAAGAAATGAGGTAATTATAATTTTTTGAGTTTAGTTACGTAAGGACAGGCTCCGGAGTACCTGCGGAATGCAGAGACTTGCAATAGTGAGACCTGCGAGTAAATCATTCCTGAAGCTTATGGCTGAATAGTTTCGACCCCAGCCAAGAACAGGAAACATGGCTTGCAGGAATGAAACCATAATTTTGGGTCCGGATTGGCTTCTGGGACCAGACGCCTTTCCTTGATACCGTGAAATGGTGTTGCTCACTGAGCCTGCAAGTTCATGCCACAGACTGGGAGGCTCAGGAGCATTGAGCACCCACTCAGACCATTCATTAGGTTCCTCAGCCTTCTTCTCAATGTCCACCACAACGACGTCCTCTATTTGGGCCGAAGAACCCATATTTGATTGAAGTGTTTGGGAGAACTTCGTCGCCTGCACGAAGGCCAAATTGCTCTATTCTACTCTAACATGGAAGTCGCTGTAATGAAGAGTCACTCAGAGGCTCATAGCTGCGATTCAATGGCACAAAGCGAGAACCAACAGGTACCATTTTATACATGCGGAAAAGCGATTGTTTCCAAGGTGAGTAGTTAGGCACAAGAAAAATCAGTAGATAAAAGGGGTGTTGGCATGCGGGCGAAAAGCTGGAAGGCACTTTCTTCCGAAACATGTCCACTAACTCGGTACACCAATTTGGCGACTAAAATAGATTCATCACAGAGGCCACTGTTCTGATCTTTTCTTGGGGCTATTGCTCCTTTACATTTGTTATTTAAACTGCTTCTCAAGATACCAACCAGCACGTAACGATCTATTTTTATATCAAAATCTGTGGATTAATATTGTATATGCTAAATATGCCCTCTGGTTGTTCAAGTTGAAAGCTCCGCTAGAGACGGGGCAAGGTTATATGATTGAGAGGAGAGTCCAATGGAACTCGGGAAAAATGGCAACTTCAAGATTGCGTGCAAGATCATTGTACTGAATTGGAATCATCATAGCATTATCCTTTTCGTAGTACATAATTATGAGTCTTTCAAGTTCTCGGTAGTGCGTTTGTAAATAGCAATTTGCCCTACGTGGACCTTTTCTCCTTCTGATGCTCAAGTGTCAAGGCCGGCATGATAATCGTATCGAGCGCATATTTATTATGCGGCCCTTTGTATTTTTGCAGAAATCTATACCAATAAAGTAGGATAGGATGCTTGTCTTTTTGCTTTCCTTGTAAAATTTGCCTAGTGGGGAAAGGGATACCTCCGTTTCCCTTTTCACTGAAAAAAGACAAAAAGAGTAGGCATAAATCATATAGATTATGACACAACATGTATATCAAGCTGTCTTGTAAACTATATTTTAAACGAAAATTCTGAAGTTCTATAAAATGGTACTCTCAAGTTAAAACTTCAATATTTAAATTGGTGAGATATGAAATTTGATAACCATCATAATTAGTGAAAGGCGATAATTTGCAATTTGCAATTTAGACAAAATCATGTGAAGTCAGTATAACTCTAGACCACAACACGACATTGGTTTTCTTAAAGACCTCAACTAGTTTTTAGGTCAAAAATGATTTTCTTTAATTAAAGCCCTCACCAGGCCCGGCAAGGGACTTTTATCTTGCTTTCTTATCTTTTCCCTCATCTTTCTTTTCTAACTCTCATATCATTATTTTAACAGTTGAGATTTTAGTCTTTTCAAATTATTATTAAAATATTAAATTATAAAAATAAATAAATACTAAAATAAAATTTAATAAAATTTAATTTCAATAATTTATAAATGCAGTAAAAAGATTTTTTAAAAAATAAAATTTGAACTGTTAAATTATGTAAAACCAATCATTATAAGAAGAAGAATAAAGAGGATGGGAAGAGAAGAGATATCTCTCCCAGCCAGGCCTCCCGGTCAGAAACTGATGAACTGAATATTCATAAAAGACCGCCCCAATCCCAAATGATAACTGGAGCAGAAGATTATCTAACCAAATTATGGAAAAGTGAGAACACAAGGCTCCTAACCAGGAAGACGAGAGTAAACCATGATAAAGAGTGACCCCTTTAATCAAATAAAAAAGTCAAAGACTCAACGTCATCGGCCAAAAGATCTGCTGCAAACAAGAAGTGCTCTAACTAGCAGCAATAATAACAGAGCCCGCACATTCCTGCTCTCCATATCCATATGGGACCACCCTCAATTCTTGATCTATTTAGATGAACCACTACATTTCTTGCGAGGCATGCATTTTGCTTTTACCCCTCTCTTCTTCTCTTCCTCTTCTTCCTCTACCCTGTCATCGCTCCTGCACCGTAATCACCATTCTCAAATGTCATACTCTGAAAGAAAAATGAGAAATCAACATAGTATATAAAATATTGGGAATCCCACACCACCTTTCTTCGTTATAGGAATTGGACTTCTTGAGGACCGCATGGGTCTTGGACGCATCCCAGTGGGCCTTCATTGACTCAACGAGGCTGCCACTAAAATACTCTTTCTCCTCTGATTGGGAATTCCAGAACCTTGGATTCTCCGGCATGCATCTCATCATCTCGGTCTCCGACAGTTTCTCTGCACTCTTACGCACAGCCATCTTCTCCACAGTGTCGTTCTTCTTCACCATATTACTCATGCACGGTGCCTTCGCCACTGCTGAGCTTCCGCACGCTATCAATTGCAACAGCACCGAGTTACGACTCGCTGCTGAGCCCGATGTCCCTCCGTCCAATAATCTTCCAGAGTTGTCGTTTGCTTCGTTTTTATCGGGCGGAATGGCCTTGGAGGTGGAGCTAATTCTCAACGACATGTCGTTCGCGATGACCTTTCTTGTTTCGTGGCGCCCCTCGAGTTCATCGGTGGATACACCTCTAGAGCAGCGAGGACGGGGCTTGGTGGTGGAGTTCGTATTGCTCGTTTTCTCGCCATCTTCGTACACTTCATCTCGCTGCTCTTCGTATTCTTCGGTCTCTCTTCTCGGGCTCGCCCGAAATGTCTTGCGCTTCAAGTTTAGATTAGACCCCTGATACAATACTTGCCTATGGCTCAACTGAAGCTGCTGAAATCTTTCTGCAAGCAGTAGTAACACATAATAGTAGGAGTAGTAAAAGAATGATGTAAACAATCTAGTTATTAATTGAGATATGTTAGGTTGTGTCGTGCGGAATGATGATCATGATAAGGAAGCCTCAAGAGGAGACTGACCAGAACAGCCTCGGAGGAGTTTAGATCCTTTGAGAACGTACTCGGCTGCATCAGTCGGATGTATAATATCGTTTACTCCCAAGTCGTACCACACGTAACCGCCCTTGTAGCTCCTTAAACCAACAAATTGAATTATCATGCCCGGCAACATGTGTCCAAGTATAGCCAAGAGATCCGGGAAGAGCAAGAGTAATACCTCTTACAAGACCAGGAATATAGAGAAGGCATGCCACTTCCCCTGAGAGCTATGAGCCGATCCAACACATCTTTTGTCATAATACATATTGTAGTGTCAATAAATTGAACATGATCATCAAGACCTGTCAATATGTGGACCGAAGCATAAAATATAGATGCGCGTGACTTACGCCTCAAACGGAGAGGCTCGCAGGGAGCGAGGGTGACTTCCATGGAATGGGGATGCTCCAAAAGTCCATTACGTGAGAGTAGTAAACAACTTGCACCTGTTTGAGGGGTTTGACCTGTTGGTGGTGCATGCCGCAGATTTTGGCACGCTCTGGGCTGGAGCGCCTACTTCTTCTCGAACCACCGTCCATTCTCCAACACCAGTTGTTCTTCCCCTGCCTCACTCTGTCCTCGGAGGGGATCCTGACTTCCTCTTTAAAGAAACAGAATGAAAAGGGGAGGGAAGAGAGATTGACTCACGTTCCTGCGAGAGACAGTACAGTATTTGAAAAGAAGAGGAAGCATAAAAACAGGTTGGTGCCTATCATTTGCAAGGAAAGATGCTTATGCTTCATCAGAGACTAGGAAAACACAATGGGGCCTGGGGAAGGTCAGAGATAAAATTCACCTTCGCAGTAGAGAATAGAGAAACATGATATATGTTACTTCCTCCCTTTTATCTTTTCTTTTTTGTTGGAGAGGGCACAAGTCACGATCCCATGGATAAATGGTTGGCTCCGATGCCCAACAGAGCCAAGAATGAGGATGGTCATAGGAGACAGTAGGGGCCTAGGGGTGACTTGGTTGACATCGAGTTGGGGTAACAGAGGAATGGGTGAAGTGACATGAGAAGGTGTTCACAGAGAGTGAGGTTTGTTATGACGGGGCCGGTGCAATAGAGAAGGGTTACTTACGTTGCACATGAAACAATAAAGCGAAAGAGAAGAGAGAGTCATGTGGTATGCAGTCATGCAGAGAGCAGTTACAGAGGCGGAATTGAATGCGGAGTTTAGTTTAGTAATGAAGCTGCTCACTTGTCAGACCTCGTCCACTTCAACTCCCCTAGCTAGCACCTGCATCCCATCCCCTCTTCCCATTTTAGGATTGCTATTTTCTCGTTCTCATTAATTCCCTCCTTTTACAATCATGTTCTTTGTGACAGAGAAGACATCACGGCCAAGGGAGCACTCGAGTCCTTCTATGCCGTAGATTTTTGCAATATGTACTGATAGGCATGCCCGTATTCATAAAGTTCTTTGGATATTAAAGTGCGTTCGATTTCGTCCTCAGATTGTGTGCCTGTTTACTTTAAAACTCCCCTCCATCATGTAGCTAATAATGCTATTTCTATGATATGTAAACCAAGATTAACGAAAAGTGATGAGTAGAATAATTCTGATGATTCTAAATTGGTTTGATTGTTAAATAGTTGATGTAGATGGTGCCACAGTGGCATCCATCCAGGGACGGGGCGTGAGTTAATAACTCACAACCCACAAGGGAACTATTTCTGCCTGGTTTGACATCAGTAGACATACAGAACAGGGATCTCAGTAAAAGTAACCTCTGTCATGGGAACGGAGACATAGTTCAACGATAAATTTATGCTTTATCTGGGGCTAAGTTCCTGGAACATTAACATAAAACATTACAAAAGACTATACCGATTACCATGTGACAAGTGTTTGATCCAAATATATGAAAGTTATTTTAATTATAAAAAATAAGAAAATGGCAGCGTAAGGGAAATTGATCGCGAGAGCAACTTGGATATGCAAATTTCTTTTTCAATCTCCGAATCAAAATATGACTGTGTTGCATTATATGTTTTCAGTGAACAAGAGAAAAATTCCGGTGACATTGGGACGCCGTCTTCTGAGATGCACAGGCCAGGCTACCAAAAGCCATGGGATATGGACAGCTGACATGGATAATATCAAGATATATACTGCTTATTCATCTTGGTTTGTGTGGGAACTAACTAGTAAAGTTGAGAGAGACGGAGCTGACTGTCAGTTTGGTGATTCAGAACTGCAGATTTCTGCAGCCATGTTTATCGCCAAATGCGAGTACATTATTAGTTCTAAAGTCCAAACAAATTTACTAGAAATCAAGGGGAGCGAGAAAGCCCCACCAACCTGATACTTTCTTGTTTTTCCCCTACTTTAGGCAGTTACTAATAAAGAGGACATGCTTTTTTTTTTTGGGTAACAGGACATGCTTTTTTTATTTTCTAAACAGAAAATGATTGAATCCGTTTCAGGCCCAAAAAATGGATTGAATCCGTGGATACAAAGTGGGCCCAGATAAACATAGGGGACTCGGTTTTGTTCTCAGAAAAAAAAAAGTTTGGCACCCCATCTCGCCCGAAATCGTACACAAAATTGCCAGCTCCCTGAGCCCACCAAGTTTTGGACCAGCTTTGTGGGCCCAATCTTTGGGGTGGGTTACTTGAGAACCTCGTCTGTTCAACTCTTCTGCTTCTGTTTTATGCGGAATTGTCGGCACCCACGATTTTCTTGTTTTTCCTTTGGGGTTGTCTTCGTCTTAGGACGCCTTTGAGAAAACAAACGCGCGCGCGCGCGCATAGAAAGAAATCCTGTTGACCAAAGTCCAAAGGTAACTACTTTCCTCCGCTTTTCCGCGGTTCATTAGTTAGATACGTTGCCGCCTTGTGGCCAGGATAGGAATCGGAGAACATGGCATCAATATCAAATCATAAGATTTAATATAATACATTCTATGTACTTTATTGATTAAAAACAATACAACTTATTTTTTAAGTTACACGTAATGCATAAAGTGGATTATCTGGTTTAGTATGTAATATGTAATTGAAATTTATTAAATAAATATGAGATATTTTACTTTTCATGTTACCCAAATACCCCCAAGGTTTGGGAAATTCTTTTTTGGTCTATAGATTACTTGATCCAATGGTTTTCGGAAGTTCGTTATTCAATCCGATACGCTAAGTTTATTCATTAAATTAACTTATCTGCCACTAATGAAAGCCAGTCAAATTCAGTGCCTATTTAGGATCATGATAGAAATTCTCTATAAGCACGTTTTATGTAAGTCAAGATAAAACTCCTCTCACATACTTACCTCGTATTCTGTAAATCACCATTGAAAAGCTACTTATAAACTGTTCCAAACGGGCATCAATCTTCATCCTTAGGATGTTTGTTTGGACAAATTCTTGGGTCTATCATACTCCTACTGACACTTTAGTGTGCTATGACGGTCATATTGAGTCTGATCGCAACTCTACTGATGTTCCCGACTATAAAGAGGCTTTCTTCATGTTAATATGTTCAGATCAATTCTCACATGCTTTGCCTTTTTTAGGGTTGTTTGGATGTAATCAAAATCATAATTTTAAAAGTGTTTTTACAGTGCACGAAGTAAATATATAGAGGAGTTTGCCTCGTTTTATAGAAAAACGCTTTTAGGTGATTCCAAATATCCTCTTAGTTTAATTTAGGCATGCACAGAGGCAGAAAGAAAATAGAAATAGTTAACTTATTAAGGATGTTAAAATATTATACTCCTCCGCTCCTTAATATAAAATATAATTAACTGATTTGAGTAAATTAAAAATGTTAGTTAAATTAATTAATATAATATATATATTTTTCTAAAACACCTAATTATCTTTCTTAGTTATCTCCCTCTTTTTTCTATTTGATTATTATTGAGATAATATCAATAGGGTTAATTACAAAAAAATAATAAATATATAAAATATGTCTTGCATATAAGACTGACATCAACTCTCAAATTAGCTCTTATATCAAGGATAGGAGGATCAGTATTTTTTAAATCCACATTTATTAAAAGTGGGAAAGTGTATTAAATAAAAGTTGGGTCAGTTATTGGCTATTGCATTAAAAAGGTATAGCAGAAAATATATTAAATGTTCTATATATTAATAAATTATATTTATTTTGAATTAAGTTGAGCTGGGAGAAATAAAACCTATATTATGGATAGGATCCATGTATGTATAAAGTGATTGGCAGTAATATTACAGGAATGATAGTGTTCTTGAGAGAAATAAATGAATGTACGAACTGAGGAGATTGGAGGGCTCTACTTTGCCGACTTTCCTTCCCCCGACAACTCTAATCCATCCACAGTCGGCTAGGAAGCCAAATCACTGGTGAGGAGGATATGTCATATACTGTAATTGTCGCGGCATTAAAACATAAACCCCACCAATATTCAATTATTTTTTTTGCAAAAGGAAAAAAACATAAATTAGGAAAAAATTATATATTATAAAATAATTGGTTTTTTTTTTTTTATTTGCCCATCCCTTTAACAGCACGCTATTTTAAATCTCCGCTGGACTACCTCCGTTCGATACCTTCCATCTAATCGGATTTTTTTTTTTAACCTTCGGTAGCCGGATATTATTGAAAACATGCAATAATTAAGCTTTTAAAATTTGAAATAAGATGTGTATTTAGGGACAAAATAAAAAATTAAATCAGGACAAGTAAATAAGATAGGATATGTGATTTTTTCAATCACTATCTAGTTTCATGATTAAAAACTACTCCCAAGTAATCATGACCAGAACATATAAATCAGGAGAGGATAGAGTAAAGTAAAATCTGCATCTAGTGCTAGAAATAATGATGATTAAAAATTTCCTTTAAACATCGACACAGTGAATTCCCAATATACACATATTCAAACAGCTACTCGTGTATGATTGATGTAGAACATGGAAGGATTGTGAAAAGGGAGAGCACACAGATTAGAGTGGGGGGTTTAGTTCACTGAGTGATGATTGATTTCACACGGCAGCAACCACTCATAAATCAGAAGCAGACCTTTTGAAAGCGGAATATATAAAGCCAATGCTCACTACTTTGTTTCTTTGTGCAACTTGAAAGTTATACCCTCACGGGAATCTGTATTACGAGAAAAAGCTCCAAGCGTAGGTCACACGCCCTCACCGACTGCTTCCTCTTCCCTCCCCTCTTTTTCCCTTTCCACAATCTTTCCTTTCACTTCTTCACTCCCCTTTTTCCCTATTCCTCTTCTTTTTTTTTTTTTTTTTCCGCCACAATTCATATTCCCAAACTCATGAACTAAATTGTCGATCTACCGTTACTTAATAAAATCGCTGGTTAACCGCCGCTGCATTCTAATTTAAGATGTAGTAGGGTCCAATGAGATGAGCATTTTGGATAAAATAAAAAGTGGAGATGGTCGTCCCAAAAAGCTAAACGGACAGTATCAGAAAAAGTCACTCTGGTGTAGGAAATGGAAATTGGTTTTTATTGCGATGGATCATTCGTTGGTTGGTCCTGTCTGTGGAAGGACGACGATCAACGTCACAGAGAAGCAGCACCTACCAAGGAGCACAAATTCACATAAAAAGCTGTCGCACCACAACTATATTTATAGCACTGCTCACTTCACTCTCTGCCACTGAATGAGCATAGTATCTCCTATCCCAGGCTTTTGTGAAAAAAAATGGGATACAAATTATTGTGCCTCATCCTTGTATTATTATTGGCCCTCCACCCTTCTTCCTCTCAACACTCCTCTCTGCCTCTCAGGGCCGTCAATCTCGGAAACTGGCTCGTCATTGAAGGCTGGATGAAGCCCTCTCTCTTTGATGGAATTATCAACAAGGATCTTCTGGTATATTATTGTACTTGTCATGTTATGCTAGATTTTCCTGCCAGTTTGTTAATGGCGGTCATTTCAGGATGGAACTCAAGTGCGATTGATGTCAACAAAGTTGCAGAAGTACCTCTGTGCAGAAAATGGTGGAGGAACTGCCCTTGTTGCCAACCGCACGAGTGCTTCGGGTTGGGAAACTTTCCGGGTAAGCTCTTCAACTTTTCTGAGATTACTAAACATGTTCGTTATTGGATGGGCTTTTTAAGTGCCGGATCATCGAATCCCTCCATAACTATGAGCAATGCATGCAGCTGTGGAGGGTGAATGAATCATATTTCAATTTCAGAGTGTCCAATAATCAGTTCGTGGGATTGGAGAACCATGATGCAGGGGGCAGTTTAGTGGCCAATTCAGATTCGCCTACCGACTTGGAAACGTTTCAGACTATAAGAAGCGAAGATGACCCCACCTTAATTCGTATCCGTGCGCCAAACGGTCTGTTTTTACAGGTACCATTGTCTTCAATTTCCTTTAGCTCTGTCTAGTTACCACCAGACTGTGTTGCTATTACTGGTTATGTTTCTGTACTGGATTCTGAGGTTTCCCGTTAACTCCGAAATTTCATCGCCATGATTCAGTTATTCTGAACAGAGGAATAGTTATGTGATCTACTTTTCAGGCTATTTCAGAGGACGTGGTAAGTGCAGATTATGAAGGGTCAGGTTGGGAAGACGATAACCCGTCTGTATTCAAAATGACCACCCTTAAGGACAAGATTATAAAAGGCGAGTACCAAATTACAAATGGTTATGGCCCAGACAGAGCCCCCAAAATCATGCGGGTCAGATATTTCTTTCCCTAAAATATCTTCAATTTTTTTTCTAAAAAAAAAAAGAAGTCTTATAAAATTTTACTAGTATATTATATATACATATTTCTCGAAAATGAAATACTTTTACACGTTATGCAGTATATTGCTTTTAAAGATAAACCAATACTAGTTAATGATGGGGTATGCGCAGGATCACTGGAACACGTATATAACTGAGGAAGATTTCAAGTACATATCAGAAAATGGTTTAAATGCTGTGAGGATTCCAGTTGGATGGTGGATAGCGTTTGACCCAACACCCCCAAAACCATTCGTGGGAGGGTCTCTGGAAGCATTGGACAATGCCTTCACATGGGCACAGTAAGACTGACCAAGACTGCCTCATTGCTCCTTCATTAATGCTCACTTACTCCCATATGATCAATCGTCTCTATATTTAATGGTATTTGCAGGAAGTATGGCTTGAAAGTAATAGTGGACCTGCACGCTGCTCCGGGTTCACAAAACGGCAAACCCCACAGTGCCACCAGAGATGGATCTCGCGACTGGGGAGATTCTTATATACCACAAACTGTATCAGTCATAGACTTCCTAGCTGCAAGGTAGCTAGCTGCTTTCATCCACTTCACTTGCTTTCTCATATAATGTTTCTGTGTTTTCTTTCATTTTCTAATTAAACTTCTATGCGCAGATATGGAGACAGCTCGAGTCTGGCAGCAATAGCATTAATGAATGAACCGCTAGGAGTTAATTTGGAGAGCCTGAAGAGTTATTACCAATCAGGGTACGATGCTGTGCGGAAACACAGTGCCAGCGCTTATGTGATCATGTCTAGTCCATTGGATAAAGGCTCCAGAGAGCTCTTATCTTTCATCGGAGGTTTTGAGGGATCAGCTATTGATGTTCATTATTACAATCTGTTTTCCAATTCCTTCTCCAAGATGAACGCGCAGCAGAACATAGATTACATTACTAAACAGAGAGCTTCTGATATCAGTTCTCTGACTTCTGCTAATGGACCCCTCCTTTTTGTTGGTGAGATGCGACTTCATTTCATTGAATTACAATTTAATTTAATTTTGGGGGAAGGGTAACTTGGTAATTTCGGTGGCAGGGGAGTGGAGTGGTGACTGGCTGGCGCACGGTGCATCCAAGCGAGATCATCAAAGATTTCTGGAGGTGCAGGTGGAGGTGTACTCGCGGGCCACTTTTGGATGGGCTTATTGGGCCTACAAATGTGATGCCGACTACTGGAGCCTCAAGTGGATGATCCAGAACAACTTCATCAAGCTCTAGCTATCCACAACTTTCATCTATGCATTAGGGCTAGTTGGGTTTGGGCCGGTGTCTGACCAAAAAGGAAAAACCTTTCATGCATCCATTCTCCAAGCCCACAAAAGCCTTCTGGAAAGAATATAGATGAATTTCCTTCCTACATATAATTATGATGATGGGCTTGATCGGTCCAACCATTAAGGTGGATTATCTAGGACCATTCCATAAAGCTTCTTGCTTTCCTATCTTTCTTTCACAAAGTTATGTAATAAAGTCACTGCCAACTGTAGAAATTGAAGTCAGTACATGATTATATATTACAAAAACAGTCTCCCCGTGCTGTCAACTTCTTTCTTTATTATTCACTTGGTTTGGTTAAAAACATGAATCCTGGGTGCAAAGCCTAAGGATTTGGTGTTGCTTTATATGGCCGCTGGGGCGAATCAAAACGGAACAAGTTAGAGCGGAAAAGAAACGAAAGGGATGGCGTTATGGTTTGTATTTTGTGCGATCCGGTGATGAGAGTTTTTGTGATGTTAAGGGGAGTGAATAAAACCGAATGAGCAAAGGACCAGAAATTAAGTGAATGGCAAAGGCACGAATCAGTAAGAGGTCGGTTTGTTTGTATATTGGTCTGTTAGAGCCATGGATTGAAAATTACTTGTAACTGAAACCGACTCCTTTGGGATTTTCTGTTGATTGAGGAAACGTGGAGCCCATCACCGTCGCGACGTGGTACCTGTAAAATTCACATAAACTCCCCGATTTTATGTTGAAATTCAGATTATTAAGATAAAACCATTTAGCATGTAAGACGTTTATTGGAGGGGGGGGGGGGGGGAGAAGTTCCTATCAATAAGAATCACCACTTATTGCCATGCTAGCTAGGACCCCCCACGCAGAAATAAGTGTGTGTACGAGCGTGTTTCCCACTTCCACCGGCTCTCCTTCCTCACTCATTCTTTTTATAAGTCAAATTCAATCCCTTAATTTATAGAGTACATTTGGCGAATCTCAGATTTTACAGACAGGGGAGATCTATTACACTGAAACTGTGTTGTGGTGATATCATTTGTGAATAATAAACTGCTTCCCTCCCGGCCGGAGAGTAAAGTAGCGAAGTGGCTTCTACGAGACAAATCTTGATACAAGATCAAGTTGAATCAGTAACAGATTCATGAACCAAAGAAACTTGAAGAGAATCAAATACCCACTTTAATTTTTTGGAGTCATTTAAGACCAACCCTTTCATTTTTACATAATGCACAACGGCTGCGAAGATATGAGAAAATGAGAGAGACTGGAAACGACATTGGAAAAAGTAAAAGCCTGAAAATCAGACAAACCTTGGATGTTGAAAGAGAGAAAGGCCCACCACAACATGCCTATTTTGCAAACCACGATACCATCTGAGGTTAAACAAGGGCTCAACATCTGTTCTACAAGGAAGACTCCGCAAAACGATCGATATCTGGGTCATATAGACGAACAGATTCGTGTCTTGCAATCCTCTTTGGACTCTTGTTAAGGTTGTCATTCCGTTGCTAATACTCCTCCGGTCCTTGATATAGAACCTAATTGTTAAGTTAGTTTTAGTCCTAAATATAGGACCTATTTCTTATATTTATCAGTTTTCTCTAAATTACCCCTATGGATACTCCTCAACCATAACCAAGTAGAAGAGGAAGATGGGGTATTAAGAAAGATGATTATGGTGTTTTAGGAAAAATGTGTCACATTTCTTATAATTAACTAACTTACATAACTTCCTTAATCTAATCAAATTAGTTAAATGAGTCTTATATTAATGACCGAAAGAGTACCTTTTATGACTAATCGTATCCCCGCAAATTGATACAACATGGTGGGTCGATGCTTCAACGGGCAAAGTGTCTTTATGCAAAAGTTAACTAAATAACTGCCCGAGAGCGGCAGAGCAATGGAAAGGACGTGCATGTGATGGAAGTCCAATAATGGAGGGGTACGTGTTTTGGCTTTCGGCTTTCGGCTTTCGGGTGGGGTTGGCTGGTATTCAAACACAGGAAGCAGAGCCGTGATGGTGCCTCGAGGAGGGTGTTATTATTTGTTAGTGCTGGCGGTACCATCCAATGCTGTGGCTTGCTTTCCTTCATACACCAAATAATGCAAACTCTAGCCCTCCACGTGGAACTATGATTCATTTGGTTATGAACATATGGTCCCCCTCTGATTGGGACGCACTTTGTTATTTTCTAACTGTCACCCATAATGCAGCGTCTCGGTCCCAAAAAAACATCATTCAACGTCCTCCTCCTACATCCCAGAATATATATGTGTGTGTTGCCATCTGATTGGCTCCTGTCTCTTCACCTTTCATTCTTTTCTTTGCTCTCTCTTCTTCTACTAACTTTTATCCCTCAAACGTCGTTTCCTGAAGCAGTGTAACCAGTGTTTGCCAAAAAGGAAAACAAAGGAGGAGTGGAGGACCACCTCACAACAACCGTTCTCTTCCCTCTACACTTCCTCTTTCGTATACACTGCTGTCTTCAAGCTTGTGGCCTAAGATAACTTACATCTTAACATAAGAAACTTCCAAGCACTTTCCAAGGTTTTTTCATAATCTCAGCTGCTATCTTTTGGCATTCCTACTCAACTACACTACAAAATTAAATACATAAATACTCTTTCAATCCCTTCATTACTTTCATTTAGATTTCATTAATCATTAATTACCGTGTATTTTAATATATTTTCATCTCCCTTTATTTTATTTTACTTCAGTTCGTTAGCGTTCAGAAAGTACTTAAATACATTTCCCCCCAACATTTAGTGCTACAATGTCAAGGGATAGAACGGAGAAGAAAGAAGATAGTATCTGATATTAAGAGCTGAGGAGTAATTAAAACCTTGATTTATATTTCATCTACTTATAGAGTACAAAAGATTGCCAGCTCTCAAATGTGGAGAAGCCGCAGACAGAAAAGCTACGTACACAAGAGGCACCCTTCTTACACGGGAAGAAAAGGGAAGCAAAAAGACATCCATCAAACATAATCGTACATGATATTACATTTGCAAATTCATTAACAAACATATTTATATAAGAGAAAAGGGGAATCAGTTTCCAAATGATCCCGATTCCCATCGGGTCAAGCTTCACTTGTACTCCAGAATCATGTTGTTCTCAGGAGCCAAACCAATGCAAGCCCTCATGATGTTTTCCAGCATAGAACGCTGCTTTGACAATGCGTTCACCACCGGTGTGCCTGGTGGGACCTGTTATTCATGACCACATACCATTCAGCCATCCCTTCAACTTTAGAGGATATCATAAAGTAGAATAGGCAATATGTATTTTGTTTTTACAGAAAGAGATCATTCACTGAACATTAACTATTTTGCAATGTAACTAGAGCATGGTTATAACAGAAAAAGCTAAGCGTGCGCAAATATAAACCAAACAGAATGGCTAAACCAGAGTAAACAGGCGACTCACCAGAGGAGCTTTGGTGAGGTAACTGAGGATCGCAGCAACAGGATGGAATGAGTGAAACTTGCCCTGTAAAACCCATAGCCAACTCTGTATTAGCATGGAAAAAAGGGAAAAAAAAGCTTGGACGCTGACATATAAATTGATACAATTAATGAAGGCAACGGACCTCTCCTTCAGCCTTGAACTGAATTCGGGTGCTAAGCTCAGCAAGAAGGACCAAGTCTAGGATGATAGGAGCAGCCAACAGAGAATCCTCACATGTGTTGTGCATCACGATTGTGTTCTTTCCGCCCATGAATATCTCTGAAGTGTACTCGTCCATAGCTCTCTTGCTGTCGCCCACGTAGGGTACATACTACACAAGTAACAAACCAAAGAGTTAGGTATGACAGACGACATATGTAGAGGAATGGAGCGAGAAAAAGTGCGAAGCAAAGTTTACCTTAATAACGACCACATGATCAGGATGCTCGCCAGGCTCATAGAGAATGGCGTTGCTGTTGACCATATCATCAACAACGTTGCTTTTCGAGATTTCCTTGGAGCGGAAGGTTTGTGGAGCCGAGAGATTCATCCCGTCATTGTTTCCCAGATGGTTGTAGCTCACTATTGAGGTGGGCTGTCAGTCATCACAGACACATTTGATGTAAGTGCACTTTTACACTTGGCAGATCGGTAAAATTAGCTTACCAGGACCGTACAAACACACAATTGGCTCTTGCTAGTATACTAAAAGGGATAACCGAAAGACAGTTGAGGATAGTGATTCACCTTGATACCAGCCCCCACAAGGAAATCCACCAACACAGATTTCATTTTGGTTTGACCACTCTTAAAGTCATCCCCGCCAATCAAACTGTTCCTCTTGATGGCCAAGTCAATCAGCCCTGATGAGCACATTGGGCAAAATTCAGAAACTTGGTTTAATGTTGAGAAGTCCATGAACAAACCTTTTGCAAGTAAGTAGTGTACCTGGGACAAAAGTGTTCTGAGGGCTTCCGTTGATAAAAGGAACGTTTTCTAGAACACAAGCCAAGGCATACAAGGTGGAGGGAGAAATCTCAGGTTCATTTCTGTCCAGGGCCGCCAAGAGGTTTTCCACGGTGTCGTTCAGTCCCACAATTACATTACTGTACCTCTCTGTATTGGCAGTCCAGAGCACAACAACCTTGTCGACCTTGTTGGCTTCCTTAAAGTCCCTTCACATCAGCAAGTTTTCAGTTACTAAAAATGGGCGTCTGGTATATATTTAAATGTTAATCAATTAATTTTAAGCCACCGACTTATTAGAACAGTATTGTAGTTACTTTATGTCTTTGATAATCTGTTGTACTTGTTCTTTTTTGGTGCCCTTGATGACGTTGTTGGCTCTGTCCCCCTGGTTTGCAGCAATGAAATCTGGGTCATAGATTCCAGGGAGTGGAACCATGGACTCCATGTAGGGCCTAAGCTGCTTTTGCAGATCGATGTCAAAGACCTTGGCCCTCGCCATGGCGTCCGCCAGGTTCATGTCACTGATATCCCATCCTCCAAACACAACATCGTCAGGGTTCACCTGCGGATAAATCATGCATTGGATATGAACAATTATTTCACTGCATAAAGAACGAGAATCAAAAGAAAAAGAAGAAAGAGACTCATTTGAAAACCAAGATACAGTACCATAGGAAGCAGGCTTTTGAAGGGTGCATGAATTTCCTCGCCATTGAAGGAACCCACACGGATGGTGGATGCCTGGGTTAGGGAGCCAAAGTAATTGGCTTGTTGAATTTTATCCTTCGTTGCCCACGAAATACCCCTGTCAATCGGTACAATAATAGATAAACAAATTAATATTACGTTTCAAAAAAAAAATTGTTCGACTTGAACACATAGCCGAACCCCGAATGTGGACAAAGAAGCAGCTTACTCTCGGTTGGCGATGACACCACCAGTGAGGGTGCTGCCGTTGTTTCCACCCCATCCCACAAGCATTACCCTAGATGCCAACAAATAAGCATACAGAGAACGAAACATAACCGATTAAATCATTGATGGATACGCACGCAGAAAACAGAAACAGGGAGATACGATTTGGGAAAATAGAGATTGTTGAGTGAAATGGAATAAGCATAAAGGGGAGGGGGAGAATTAGGGGACTAACCCTAATTTAGGGACATGGGTGTTGGTTATAAATTCATATTTAACAGTTTTAGGCTTGACAATCCACTGGTAAGTGCCATTTCTGTTCTCATGAACAAGCTCAGTGGTTTGATAGTCGTACACAGACCGAATCTCGCCCTCCGTGTACTTCACATTGGGACTCTCAACCTTAAAGCTCTCAATGAACATTTTTGAAGGGGAAGAAGAAAGGCTTTCAAGAAGAGTTGTGGATCTCCTCACTTCTCTGGTTATTGGAAGACCAATGGTGCGCCTTCCCGCCGCTCCCGCAGCCTCTATATATAGCGAAATGGCAAGCTCTCGGCATACACGTGGCGAGAAGAACGGGCCAAGTAGGCCCTCCTCCATGTGACTCGTTTTCTCGTTTCCATACGGTGAAACTGAAAAGAAAAGACGACGGCATTTGATTGGTGAAAAAAAACGAAAAGAACATATTATTTAAATAATAATTGTTTTTATTATTCTTATTTCAAAACTTAAAGTCTTTCGGTTTATTAAACTAAAATTCCCCGTTTTATATCATGTCATATTTGTCTATTTGATTGTGGGTAAAATGTAAATCAGCTGAAAACAAGGAGCTCACTATCATCATTGTTATCATGGTCTTACAGTAAAAGCCAGTGTTATTATGAAGAAAAATGGTAGCAAGCTTTTCTCTCTGGAAGAGGATCATTCAAAAACATACACTGTTACCTGTTTTTCCTCTCTTTTTTTTTTTTTGGATCACAGTTTCACAACTTCCCTTATTTGGGATCCTAAGTAAATCCTGTCTCGATAAAAATTTGTTCACTTCATAATTTGCTTAATCATTTTATGCTTCATTCTCTCGTTCAGTTGAATTTGGTCGTGATATCTATCGGAGTGAATAAGGTCATGGGTTTGATAGAGATCTGAAAACAAGCAACTTTGTCTCATCCGAAGGACGAAATGATTTTGCCTTCCTATGAGATTATTGAATTACGCACGCACACACACGTGGCCAGTGAAAAATAATTAAACACAAATATACAGCCAAATTCAATAATTTTTATGAGGACAGAATTAGGAATTGACGAGAAGGTGCATGATAAGAGGAGAATGACCACAAATTAGCTTAAAATTATGTGTCTCTGACTTAATGCTTGTTAAATTCTAAATATTGAGATATGCATCAAACTTGAAAACAGACAAGAGGACAATAGCAGTGAATCAAATGGAAAAATTGCATTGACCAAAAAAGAGAACATGTAGAGTATAAGAATATAAATAAGAGAGAAATGAAAGGGGGATGGGACCCGGCTCTGTCCTTCTGAACCGCCCGCGTGAGCGATCGAGATTGAATATTTTAGTATGTGCTAGCTCTCCAGATTGTTCTCCAGGAAGAAATAAGAAAAATGAACTTCTGGATTGTTCTCTCCACAGAACAAAAATACAGTACCACAATAATATATGATACACGTAACTCTTGTCTGCACGTGAAGTTGGGTGGACCATCGCTCTTCTTCATGACATGCAGATGCTTCCTCGGCCATCGGAACACTGCATCAGCAGAGCCACCATAACCTGCGGGCAAGTTTAAAGGTATTACTTTAGCGTACGCAATGCCTAAACTCATCATAAATTTTACAATTTATGGTTTTCACTGAGATTCGTTTTCAATGCAGGTGGCGATGGCAGAAGTCACTATATATACCTCACCCGTTTCATTCTTTAAAACTGAAGTATCTTAAAATTTAAAAGGATAGCATTACCATAACTGGAACGTAAAGGATTTATCTATACTGTATACAGAAGCAAGCGTATAAAAATGTCCAGGTGTATTTCCGTTATTTTATAACTACCCTCACCAATAATCTTATAACATAATGAAGTCAAGTTTTTCTGTAAGCGGAAGATTCAATCTAATTTATAATCTCCAAAGATTAGTACGTCTTTTTTAATTTAACTACGTAAAACCGCCATCAAGCTGGTGTGTCTTTGTTGTGACATGCATCCTATTTGAACCCAGACATAATATTTAATTTCACTGATTTGATTACTAATTATATTATTTAGTTTTATTTTTTCAATTCCAGAATCATGAATCTGTGAGGGTGAGTTGGGATTATTAGGTAATTAATAAATGGATCGTTTCTCGGTTTTCGAATTATTAACGGGCTCAGTGTTCAAAATGAGATTGGTCCCGCACTGCACTACTGCGAGCTTGGCCATGGTGACCACATACTGGGCATCCATCCAGGGACCGACGTTGAAAAGTGAGGTCAGACAAATCAATAGGATGCACAATTTTTCAATAAAGTAATTTGGCTCTTTGCGCCCTCTCCGTGAGGAATGACCACGCCGTCTCTCCGATGGTGATGCTGATCATCTGTCGTATTTACCGCACAGGGCACCGCTCGAAAACAAAACATGGGAGACTCACCTAAATTATAATTTTAAAAATGATTATATAGTACGCCAAGAGAAATTTTATTTCAACTCATGTATAAATATTTTTAAAAAGTACTTTCAAAATAAACCAAACACTCCAAAATCTTAAAAAAATAATTATTAATAAGTTTTAATAATAAGTAAACAGTTGTCATTTATTTATTGTCTTAAAACTTATTATTGCAAGTTATTCTGTTATTATTAAAAGTTTTTGGTAATTATACTTTTTACTTAAAACTCTGTAGTAATTCTTAAAAGACACAAATACTAACATAAGTCACACTTTTATTGCATAACATTTTAGGTGATTTTAGTATATTTTGAAATCAATCAATTGATCTGAGCTAAAACATTACCAACGTAATTAATGTGAAGATAATTCGTCTTGAAAATTATAAAATCACGTTCATAATCGGGAACTGAAAACGAACAAATTGCCAGTGATGCTAGAATTAAACAAGCAAATCTACCATATTCTCCTGATAATAATTTCACCTGATGCCTAATTAGTTCCGGACTTCACTTATTACTGTTATTCCTTATATATGAAATAAAATATGTAAACCAAACTACAAACTTGCCATAATTAACCCGCGGACAGATGAATACTATTATGGTTCTTGACGTTTTCTGTATTTTATTATTGTCACTTTAAATTTTCAATTATGTTAACTATTTTATTATTTAATCAAAGTAAAAGTCCATCTTTAGTATTTCAACTTCAGATAAATTTTATTTTAGTTCCTTATTTTTTATAAAGCGCCTTTTAAGCTTTTTAATCCTAACACTATTGACAAAAATGTTGACATTCTTTTTTTTTTCCCCAGAGTTGACGTTCACATTCTAGATACTAATATATCAAATTTAATTTTAAAAATAGTAATGGTTGCTAAAAAAATAATTTGAGACAAATACTGTTAGGATTAAAGGATAACAATATATTTACGAAATCAAGAAACTAAATTAAGATGTTATATATAATTAGAATAAAAAAATTATGCAATGTTTATAATATAACTACGAAAACATTTTGTCAAAATGTAGGTTTATTTAGTAGCTTTTTTTTTTTCAATTTTGTGTGCAAAATCTAAATTGACGACTATTATTCAGAATGGAGGATGCTAAAATTCCTTCATGTCCATATTTGAATAATGTATTCGAACAAGGAATAAAAACATAAAAAATCTTGCAAAAAAAAAAAAGAACTAAAGAATGTTTTATTTATTTTTTTGATTGCCCAGAATATTTTCTTACCTAAACGGTAAAAGACTAATTTCTCATAATACTATTAGACGCCACAATGAAGACCCCTCCTAAAAAATACACACCATTCTAAAGATCAAAATCAGAACATGATTTTAAAATGTCCAATTCTCTTCTAAATTGACCAACACTTGTTGGTAAATGTTTTATATTTTTTACCACACTAAACTGGCTCTTTAGTTTCTCTTGTTTTTTTTTTTTAAAGAAAAAAAGGACGCTTCGAGCATCTTCCGAGGGTCGCTTTTCACACAGGGTTGAGGGCCCATGACCCGGGCAGCCCTTTTACCTTTCCGATGCCGAGGCCCCACTCCAGTCTCTCTCAAGGACGTCGACCCCACCTCCCGCTTTTTTATGTATATTCCTGCTTTTACATTTTTTGAAAAATCACATGGACGTCTAATCATCTGCATCATTGAATTGAATGTCGATTGTAAATTATTAATACTTTTTTAATTTTCAATGTTGGGCCTAATTTAAAATTTAGTATTTTTTAATAATAATTAAGCAGTGGAGAAAGAGAGTACGTGATCACCAGTGGCGCAGAGCTTCCGTTCATTAAAGCCCCCGGTGTTTGGAGTTGCATCATCTCTACTACCTTCCCATCCTCTTCCTCTCCACTATCCTTCTTTTCTCTTTATAACCATTGGATTAAAATTCCATAGTCCAGATTTAACATCTTATAAAATAATATTATTAAAAAAAATTTAAACTGTTAAAATCTGGTCTGAACAGTTTACAATTGTAATAAAAAAATTAAAAAAATTTGTTTTATAATAACAGTCTGTAGTTATGAACTGTTCAGATTAGATTTTAACAGTTTAAATTTATTTATCTATTTTTTATCATAATATTTATTTTTATAAAATGTTATAACATGTTAAATTTGGACCATTGGAGTTTTGATCCAATGGTTGTGAAGAGAAAAAGAGGGTAGTGGAGGGAAGAGGATGGGAAGAGTAGTGGAGAGAATCCAATTCCCCGGTGTTTGGCCTTCACAAAACTTTAACAATGATCGTGCGGTTAAACAAGGGTTGTTCACATGCCATCGGTCCGGATTGTCTCAGCGACGCGTCCCTCAACGTCCCAATATCTACCATCAGATTAATCTATAAGCTCACAATATGCCACATCATCAAGCTATTAAAAATTTAAAAAATCTAATTAATGCTATAAAATTGCTTTTTTTAAAAAAAAAGAACTATTTTTTTGAAAAAAGAAATTTGAGTGCACCATCTAATTTCTTGGATCTATTTGTTTTAATTGTAGAGTTTAATAAGAGTTCAAATTAATATAAATTGAGTCAAATAGAATAATAAAAAAAGGTAGAGTTTTGCCATCAAGTATTTTAATTAAAAATTTTAAAAAATAAAATACTTGATATAGTTTTGCCACTCTTTATAGTTCTGTCTAACTCGATCTATATCATATTGAATTTAGATAAATCTTCCAGTTTAAGATGAATAAATCCAAAAAATTATATATAAATATATGATGGTTCA